ACAATTGATAATTTGTAAATATTTCAATTTCTTTCAATATATATCACGCTAAAAAAGAACACTTTCATATTCCCTTCTTTCCCTTTATCAATCATTGTTTCTACAGAAAATATTGTGACTATACCGATAGCCGTCTATGAGGAACTGAATTTATTCCGTTGGTTGACGGCCAGTTCTAATTCATTTGCATTTGGAACGATACAGGAGGGCACAGCTCACTACAAAGTATTCATTCCTGCTGGTAAATAGATTTGGCATATCATGACTTCCTTTTGATATGAATGCCGTTTAAAGATTTTTTTGTAATTCTAGGCTCTCTTATGAATAAAGATTAAGTAATTAATTAATGTGTATATATATATATATATATTTAAAGGAATATAGCAAATAAAGTGATCAAATATGGATTGGTCTATATGATTTGTTTTCCTCCACTTAATAAATGGCAAAACATGTAATTAACGAGGCTTATTATCACTACCTCGTTTCAATATTGCGTCAAGTATTTTTTGTTGTGTTAATTTTCAATATTGTCTTGAGATATTTAATGAGACAGTGTTTAGCACAGGATTACCTGAATGAAGAACTTGCATGATGTTTGCTTCTGTTTAAATACTGTTTATCAATGACTTATTTATTAGTTTATCCGATCATTCAATATGGTGGCAGCGGTGGGATTCGAACTCATGCCATCACAATGGATAGTATAACAAAAGAAAGTTGATATCTATTTCTAAACTATATCAGTGACATGTACATTTTTTATGTGTCCCTGAGTGCGAAAACTGTATCTGTTTTTGTTTGCAGGTGGTTTACGTGTTAGGAACAGACGCCTTGTACAAATCGAGTTCTACGGTGTCAATCTCACCGTCCCAGAGCAGTTCGAACATTCCCCAGAACCAATTGCTGTGCTTAATGGTGGTCCGTAATTTTGAAACTACTTGACCAATTTTTCCAGAAAGAGTTTTATACTGAATGATTTGAATTGTTACTGCTTTTTAAAATATGAGTGCAAATGTTTATTTCCGCAAGTTTAAATAGAGAATGTCTTGATAATGCACAGATATTAGGTAATGTTGATCAAATGTTGATTATAATTGCTAGTACTCGCTAAAATGACCGCTTTCGGCGGCATTTCGCTCCGTGTGATACACACACAAATGCACGCAATAAATACGATGTGGCTGATCGGCAAGTTTGATGGTGCAGTAGGCTTACAATTTTCATTTTTTAGTGAGGTGTACAAAATCGTCAATGGAGTAATCACCATTCCAGCTGCGCCGCCTTTCCTGTTCCTGTTCCGACCGAACCAGCTAGAGGACATCACCTACAATTCAAACAGCACTGTAGAATCCTAACAGTACAGCTTCTTCCCCGGCACTATCTGCTTGTGGAATGTCCTGCCCAGGCGTGGATCCAGGGGGGGGGGGCGAGCGGGCCTTGCCCCCCCCCCCCCCGCAAAAAAAAAGGAGAGAGAGAAGAAAAAAAGAAAGAAGGGAAAAAGGAGAGAAAGGAAAAGAAAGAAGAGGAAGAAGAAAAGAAAAGGGGGAAAAGGAGATCGGGGGGCCAAAAGGGCCTTGCCACCCCCATTAAATAAAATAAGAGAGAAGGAAGTAAAGGGAAAGAAAACAGGAAACGAAGAGATAAAGGAAAGGAAAATAAGAGGAAAAAGAAAAGAAAAGAAGGGATATCAGTTGCAATTTTCCCGCAAAAGGCCCTTGCCAACCCCCCCCCCCCCCCCACCCCATCCCCAAAAAGAGAGAAGGAAGGGAAGGGAAAGAGGAGCTAGAGCTAAAAAGAGAACCAAAAAGAAAGGAAGAAGAAAAGATAAGGGTGAAAAGAAGCGGAGATCGGTTGCGACTAATCTCGTCAACAACGTGTAGATCGGGGGGGGGGGGAGGTCCTTGCCTTCTTCCTCCCCCAAGCAAACCTTAAAGAGAGAGAAGGAAGTGAAGGGAAAGGGAAAGAAGAGAGAAAGGGAAAGGAAAAAAGAGAGAAAGTAGAAAGGTAGGGGAGATCAGTTGCGATTTTCCCGAAAACAAGGTGTAAATCGGGATGGGGGGGGGGGGCAGTTGCCCTACCCCCAAATACCGCTAAATACCGACTTTTTCTTCACTTTTTAGTTAATAATACTTTTTTAATGCGTTTGTTCAAATATGACAAAGTCAAGCAAGAAATATGCTTATTTAGAGGCCTACATGTCAGGGCCCGCGGAACGTTGGGGCTCGGGGGCCTCGAGCATCAAAATATGCTTATCCGACCGTTATAATATGCCTAAAACCCCTAAGCTCTTGGGGGCTCCGCCCCCTGGACCTCACGCCAATTAGTGTCCTGTCAGTGTCACAAATAAGGTATCAAAATATGTTCATCTGACCATAATTAAATGCCTAAAACCCCTGAGCTTCCGGGGGCTCCGCCCTCTCGACCCTACCATGGGCCCTAAGGCGGCCCCTCAATGCTTATCCGATCATTATAAAATGCCTAAAACTCATGAGCTTACGCCAATTAGTTTCCTGCCAGTGTCACAAATAAGGTATCAAGATATGTGCATTCTTTCGTAATTAAAATCATGCCTAAATCCCCTGACCTTCCGGGGGCTCCGCCCCCTCGACCCCACCAGGGGTCCTAATGCGGGCCCCTCAATGCTTATCCAACCGTTATAAAATGCCTAAAACCCGTGAGCTTCTAGGGGCTCCGCCCCCTGAACCTCACGCCAGTTAGTGTCCCGCCAGTGTCATAAATAAGGTATCAAAATATGCTCATCTGACAGTAATTAACCGCCTAAAAGTAAAACCCCCGTGCTTCGGGAGCACTGCCCCTGAACCCAACTAATGGCACTGAGACGGGCCCCTGGATGCTCACCTGACCGTTATTTATTGCCTAATTCCCCTGCGCTCATAGGGGTTCCGCTCCTGGAACCCCACGCCAATTAATGTCCTGCCAGTGTCATGAATAAGGTATCAAAATATGCTCATCTGACCGTAAATAAATGCCTTAAACCTCTGAGCTTCCGGGGGCTCTGCCCCCTGGATCCCAGCTAGGGCCCTAAGGCGGGCCCCTAGACGCTCATCTGACAGTAATTTAATGCCTAAAACCCCTGAGCTTCTGGGGGCTCCGCCCCAGAACCCACGCCAATTAATGTCCTGCCAGTGTCATGAACAAGATATCAAAATATGCTCATTTGACCATAAGATGACCATAGGCATACCCCCTGAGCTTTCAGTGGCTCCGCCCCTTGACCCCCGCCGGTTGACCCCACGCCGATTTACGCTACGCTCTACCTGGTCGTAAATACTTTAGCCTCACCCCACCCGCTTTGAAAAACGTTCAGCGGGGTCTGGAAGTAAAAGGGGGAGGGGTGATGCGGATTTTTTTTGGTCTCCACCTCCCCAAAAAACACTTTTCTGCTCATTACGCCAACGCTGGTCACCATTACGTACCAACATTTGGCTCGCATGATTTCAAATTTGGGCCCCCCCCCCCTAAGAAATCCTGGATCCGCGCCTGGTCCTGCCTGCAACAGTGGTTTCGGCTCCGTAGGCCCTACGTCTACTGAGTCTTTCCAGAGCCGTCTTGCACCACTCACCCTCCGTCAGCTTTCCAGTTGAGATGTATCTTTTTACTTGCACTGTAGCTTAGTTCTTTGTTACTGCACTCAATGTCATGTGTTTTTGTGATCGCGGCCCCAGCAATCAAGTACGACTATAGTACAAAGAGGACTGTACTCGATGGAAGAAGGAGAAGAATTAAATAGCACACTGCATTTAAATTTAACACACAGCCAGGATAGTAATGCAGCTATGTGTAGACTAGGCCCTTGCTCCTTCTCGGTCCGATTCCTGAGCTACCACGACACTGTCATAATTATATTGACAATTGAACAATTATATTTGAATAAGGTAGATTTAGATCTACTTACCAAATGAGCGGAGCTTTAATATAGATCTGGTTCTAAATCTATGTGACATCGCTTGTAGTGCATACTACATGCTGTATAGATAGATAGAGGCACCAGCAAACGCAACGGTACGTGTCGCTTAATATTTCAGTTATCCGTGAAAAGTTGCAGAGACGAAATTCCATAGACCAGTACAGAAATTTTCACCCCGCGGAACCATTCCTTTATACATGCTGAAGGTATCGCTAATGTTATTCCCCAATTTAAATTTGAAGAGTGTACATTCGATGTACAGCACAAGTACCGATATCCTCTTTCATGAACTATTTTGAGTTTTTATATTTCATTTTGAGATTTCAAACAATCCCAGCCGTTAGAACAATCTGCAGTCATAACGAATGACACGTGGCATTAAAGTCTTTAGATGGATTTCCTTACTAGATAGATAGATAGATTCAGTTGTGTACCTGAAGATCACAGAATCACAGAAATGTTGTGACTTTGCAAATCAACGAATATGATAAGCACGGGCAGTTAAATTAAGCGGATTTTAGAGATACTGGGCACAATTTTTTGTTTTTAATTGAGGGGGGGGGGGGGAGGTTTCCTCCAAAACGTATACATATACACAAATTGAGGAGGGTTCGGCCCCCATACCCCCCCCCCCCCTGCGTACGCGCCTGATTTGATATATAATAGGCGGTGTCACACAGAAAAATCACTTGAAAATTCCCTTGAAAAATCCTTTCAAGGAAGAATTTTCTTGCTTCGTTAGAGGATTTTTAATGGGATAATAAGGTCACCTTTTTTGGGTCATCCTTTTGCACAATTTTTTTTTTAAATTGAGGGGAGGGGGGGGGGGGTTTCCTCCAAAACACTTACATATACACAAATTGAGGGGGGTTCGACCCCCATACCCCCCCCCCCCTGCGTACGCGCCTGATTTGATGTATAATAGGCGGTCTCACACAGAAAAATCCCTTGAAAAATCCCTTGAAAAATCCTTTCAAGGGAGAATTTTCTTGCTTCGATTTTTTATGGGATAATTGGTGACAGACAGCAATTAAGAGGATAACTAAAATCCGGATTTTTGGCCTCTGTGTGACACCGCCTATAGAGTAGCAAATGCCCGAACTTAACATAGGCAGAGGGATATTGCAGGTGCAGTCACATTTATCTTTATAGTCTGAATCCGAGTGGAGATATTGGAACAACCATTAATAGAGAACCTGGTAAGATCTGAAGTAGGAGTTGTGGAGTAGTATAGGAAAAGTTAAATTGAAGTGAGCTAAGTTGATATTACATTTATCAAAATCCACTTGTGGGCCTAAAGGCGGAATAACATGGAATGTACCAACCAAGTAGGAGAATAGCACTTTACATCGTATAGTGTCATCAATTTATAAGTGAACTATGGAGTTGACCATATTTCTTTCTAAGTTAAATAGAACTTGAAAATAGTTCTCATAACTCATATAAGCATGGGTGAAGAGACGAGTAGAAATTGAGTGAGTTAAGAGGCAAGATTCACAGAGAATGGAGCAAGAAAGAGACACGAAGAGATTTAGGGATAGGGATACATATTACTATGAGATGAAGACACATTACGATTTATAACAAAGTGTGACCGAAATTGATGTAATCCATAAGTAAACACTGTCTTGTTATTCTTAATCATTATCTTGTTATTCTTAATCATTCAGGTCCTGGTCCACGTGGAGATATTGGAACAACCATTAATGGAGAACCTGGTAAGATCTGAAGTAGGAATTGTGGATTAGAAAATGAAAAGTTAAATTGAACTGAACTGAAGTGATGATATAACAGATAAAATCCACTTTGCAGCCTGAGGGCTGATTAACATGGAAATGTTAAATCTAAATGATATAATAGCATTTTACATTGTTTTAATATATTACCATAATGAATAAGTGAATTATGGAGTTGATCGTAATGCAATCTAAATTATACAGTAATAGAGCAATAGTTTTCATAAGCATGGGTGAAGGGAGGGACGGAAAATTGGTGATTTTAGAGTCAAGATTTAGAGAGAATGGAGCAAGAAAGAGACATAAAGAGATTTAGGGTTAGGGATACATATTACTATGAAATGAAGACAAATGACGATTTATAACAAAGTGAGAACAAAATTCATGTAATCCATAAGTAAACACTGTTGTAAATGTGTATCAAATCGTGAGTCATATTGATTGCAACGTACACATTATTTTAATCTATTCAAAGTGGACTTTGGATATCCTTAACTGTAACTTTTCGTCCTTGATCATTTCAGCAAGAGCAGAATTGGTGGCCCTTGACATAGTTGGCATGATGGAGCTCAATGTATTTGAAACTTCAACATCTTTTAGATCTGTGACGATAACACAACCAGTTAATATCACCATCCCTATCACCAGTCTTTCCGATGAGTTTAGTGCTGGTGATTCGATGGATGCCTGGTACTTCGATGAAGATCATGGTAAATATACTTCAAAATGTCATGTGTATTATATAAATGCGAGTTTAAATTAATTGACCTTCTCTTCTGTAACTACTAGTGATTAGTCTTTCAGAAGTTTTGTCTTCTCAATCTTTCTCTTATAATTATATGCTGTGCTACTTTGTATTAACTTCCTTTATTTAATTAACTTCATTCAATTCAATTTAAGGAATTGCAAGCAGATCCATCACTATTATTCGTATAAGTTATAGCAGTGATAGTTAAAAGATTTAAATTGGTATAGAGACAAGTTTGGTCACGAAGGGCTTAATTATAAATAAACTGTCATCAACTTTCTGACTCATTGCTTTTTTTTGGTTTTTTTTGTTAAACTTCTGCAGGTGTATGGGTTAAAGACGGCACAGGTATTATTGAGCAAGATCGTGATTCTGATATGTTGGTATGGCAGTACGAAGCAACACATTTTACTTGGTGGGCAGCAGGAAAGCCGCAGGTCCAAACCAGCTGTGTTAAGGTCAAGACTTGTCTTGACGGAGCCTGTAACCTCCCTGTACCTGGCATCAGAATACAGTGAGTCTTCAACCTATTTGACACAAAATCTGTCTCATTTTTCTTTTTCTATGACGAGCCTTTTTGTAGGTTTGTAATTTATAACTGGAGGAATAAAATGCTGTTTCCCTTCATAAGCTTGGTCTAATTTTCTACACATCTCATAAATAAGAGAGATAAACTATAAAGATGTAAGATAGGTCAGTTCCATAATAATAACAATTGTGTAAAGATATATGACTAGCTTAATAGTGATTACTTGTCGTTTAGGTTAACACTTGCAAATAATGAAACAAGTTCATATCATCTTGCTTATTTTCATTTGCTCTTAGACTTACTGGTGAAGATTATGGTTTCTCGAGCTCAAGAACAACTGACCGATATGCAGAGGCCTTCTTTAACTTCAAACACGGAAGAACTGTTACCCTCGAAGCAGTGTGCGCCAGGGAAAGAGTTACGGTGGCCAGTACTACACTACCGGCTGCATTTGACAATGCCGATACCGACATACCTTCGGTCAGCCCTGATCCCCTCCTCCCCTTGGACGTCTGTAGGGAAGTCACCCTGATGCTTCCACCCCTAGCAAGTAGGTGGTCGAATTTTTTTTTTTTTAAATATTATACGCTTATGTGTGTTCACACACAATGCTGTTGAAATGCTTTACTTGACGGTAAACGTTTATATGTTCTTAGACGTAGCCACCTCCCCGATCTAGCATGAATGCAAACTTGCTGGTCTGATATATTTTTAATGTTTTATTTAAGAAACATCACATCCTCGATACTTTTTAGGTCTTGGAAATACTTTCATGTAATTTCGAAATTGCCAGTGATGTGAAAACATGATTATTTGGCTGAAACTTGGAATACATGATTTTGACCAGTAAAATTTAACTCGTCTTTGTCATGGTAACATTCTAAAATCATCTAGATATCATATGAATTTATTCCTTGAAATGCTAGAGCGCCGTATGCATGGCAGCCGTGCTAAAGCCAGGGTAATAATCGTGAGCGCCAGGAGGGTCAAATCTGACTGACATGAGCGCTATACAAGAACCCACTATTATCATTATTATTTATTATCATATTTGAAAAAAATGGTCCAATAATGTCTGAACTTTTATGTTATGTCTCATTTGTTTGTTTTTCCTGTAGGTAATATGACATGTCCCGGTGAGGTTGAATTTTCTGTTCATTCTCTCAACGGTAGGAAGTACTCTGACGTCGTGCAGTACTCCTGTGATATCGGTCGAACACAAAAAGGAGAGGGGTACAGAACATGCCTTGAGTGCGGCTTATGGTCTGATCGACCTGTAGAATGCATTTTAATTTAAATCCTATCTGGACTCCAGAGAAAGATTTGTTAAAAAGTGATGCAATTGCCAATTAAGCAAAATTCAACATTTAACCTCCACATTTGGAATTATAAAATTAAACTGTCACATATCATGAGTGATAGAAATTATGAGTATTGCATCACTAAGGAAACGCCATTTACTTTGGTTATAGTGGATTTGATATTCTAAGATGGGTGTAGATATTTCTGTACTACATGGTTAAACTGATAGGCAGAAGTTGATCTAATTCTCTATATACTAATATGAAGCATGATATATATTAAGTTGAAATTCATGTATAATGATTTCTCAAATACAATGGTAAATATCGGTGCTTGTTAATGTTATTTCTTCATTTAACTCTTTGAGTAATATTGTATGGCTCTTAAATTGGATTGAACTTTGTTTCAGTGGAACGAAAAAAACATCAATACTATTATTTATCATGCTGCAATGATTCAAAATGCTGCTTCGGCTTAGAAAAATATATTTATGTTGTTCATATCTAAAAACTAATCTAGAAAAGTACATGAAGATATTAAATGTAGACTCTTTAAATATTTCGTGGTATAATTTTGCTTAAACAATCTGGGTTTAGGATTATCCCGATTATCTGTTGAAGCAAATAGTGGTCGTCTGACAGATGTTGTGTACCTTGACCTAAAGAAAGCCTTCGACTCTGTCGATCACGAAATATTGTTAAAGAAACTTCCTTTGTATGGAGTTAAGACAGTGAGCTTATTTGGATTAAATCATATTTTTCCGGAAGAACACAACGTACATCTGTCAAAGGGACCTTGTCTAACATTACTAATGTCAGAACTGGCGTTCCGCAAGGCTCGATGATCGGGCCCCTTCTGTTATCGGTAAAAGTAAATGATTTACCAGGGATCGTTGAAAAGTGCCACATTATGATGTACGCCAAAGATACAATATTTTACTACAGTGGGGAAGATATTAAAAACATTGAATCTGTACTGAATAAGGAGCTTCAGACACAAAATCATCTCAGGTTGAATTTATTAAAAACTCAATATATGGTTTTTGGCTCCCATAGGAAAGTTACAAATTGTGGTGATATAAATCTCACTGTTGACAGTATACATTCACACCGGACACGAAATGCAGTGGTGTTGTGGTGCCACTTGTCCGCACACAGGCTGGTAAAAAAGCCTTTGGAATTGGCTGGATAGTGGGATTCGGGGCGCTGTTTCTAGGCAGTCCTTTGCTACTTCATATTGGAGATCTAGAATCAGTAGACGGTTTGGTATAAAAACAACAACAAACAAACAAACAAAATTAAAAAATCCAATATGGGGTGGCGAGGGAGTGTTTGGAGGTAGTGCCTCGAGCCTTGCTGTCCGGTTGGTTCCAGCAAGCGGAGGCATTGTGGGAGCCTTATAGTTTAAATATTTTTTTTAAAGTTTAATATTTCGTGCAGGTCTGATGTCTTTGTAATATTTTGTTGTTTTGTATTCATTTATATGTTTGTAATTTTTGTTGTGCTATTGCAGTGCCGCCGAGTATAAAAGTGTTTTACTCACTGATGGGGTAACCCTGGGTAAATAAAACAAAATAAATAAATAACAAAATAAATAAACAATGACAAATCAATTTGTAACTGATTAATCATGAATTCAAAGTTTTTCCGACAACTTAGGAGAAAGAAGTAAAAGGAGATACAAAAATAAAATTGTTCAAAAAGTAAGTTTTGTGCTCAGTAACCAATGGTTTGAAAGTAAATTGTTTTTAGAATTGACTTTCTTATTCTTAGGAGGTCCTTTTCAGATCCGTCTCACTTTTGATTTGAAACCTAGTTGACCTGTCACCTGTCTAAGTTGAGAAATCTTTGGTCAACTTTTTATCGTTTTGTTTTATAAAATCATAATTATAGTTATAATGTATGAAAACCTTAAACCATTAACACCGCCAACTTCTCTACCACCACACTGTAAAAAACAGGGTGTAGAAATTCTTACGCCAGTGTGGTGTTGAATTTTGTTGACACCATTGGTGTTATTTTTAACACTGGTCAGATTTAAGCATGCATCAATAATAACTGGGTGTCAAGTAACATGGTGTAGTTTTATGCTCGGTGTTGAAAGTATCATCACGTGATTTCGTTAAAGGCGGTTGATTGGTCGAATAAGTTTTCACAAAGTGTACGCGCGCTTAACGATTACTTTACACGTGTTCACAGAAAAATACATTTATCATGACTTTTTAAGCAAATTGTGACAATGCACATCAATTTTGTGATTTGTATTTTCCTTTGGAAAATATTGACCAATAGATTATTTGTCCGATCTTGTTACAATTACATTAACGTTTTAGCAATAGATATATTGATTATATGATTACTAACCAAGATACAACATGCATGTTTATTATATATTCGTGTACCAGCCTGTATCACTTTAATACTAATCTTAAATT